ATATATATATATATATATATATATAAAGGGAACACAAAAATAACACATCCTAGATCTGAATGAATTAAATATTCTTCTGAAATACTTTGTTCTTTACATAGTTGAATGTGCTGACAACAAAATCGCACAGAAATTAAAAAATGTTTAACCCATGGAGGTCTGGATTTGGAGTCACACTCAAAATGAAAGTGGAAAAACACTACAGGCTGATCCAACTTTAATGTAATGTCCTTAAAACAAGTCAAAATGAGGCTCAGTAGTGTGTGTGACCTCCACGTGCCTGTATGACCTCCCTACAACACCTGTGCATGCTCCTGATGAGGTGGCGAATGGTCTCCTGAAGGATCTCCTCCCAGACCTGGACTTAAGCATCTGCCAACTCCTGGACAGTCTGTGGTGCAACGTGGCGTTGGTGGATGGAGCGAGACATGATGTCCCAGATGTGCTCAATTAGATTCAGGTCTGGGGAACGGGTGGGCCAGTCCATAGCATCAATGCCTTCGTCTTGCAGGAACTGCTGACACACTCCAGCCACATGAGGTCTAGCATTGTCTTGCATTAGGAGGAACCCAGGGCCAACAGCACCAGCATATGGTCTCACAAGGGGTCTGAGGATCTAATCTCGGTACCTAATGGCAGTCAGGCTACCTCTGGCGAGCACATTGGGGGTTGTGTGGCCCCCCAAAGAAATGCAACCCCACTGACCCACTGCCAAACCGGTCATGCTGGAGGATGTTACAGGCAGCAGAACATTCTCCATGGCGTCTCCAGACTTTGTCACATGTGCTCAGTGTGAACCTGCTTTCATCTGTGAAGAGCACAGGGCGTCAGTGGTGAATTTGCCAATCTTGGTGTTCTCTGGCAAATGCCAAACATCCTGCACGGTGTTGGGCTGTAAGCACAACCCCCACCTGTGGACGTCGGGCCCTCATGGAGTCTGTTTCTGACCGTTTGAGCAGACACATGCACATTTGTAGCCTGCTGGAGGTCATTTTGCAGGGCTCTTGCAGTGCTCCTCCTGTTCCTCCTTGCACAAAGGTGGAGGTAGCGGTCCTGCTGCTGGGTTGTTGCCCTCCTATGGCCTCCTCCACGTCTCCTGATGTACTGGCCTGTCTCCTGATAGCGCCTCCATGCTCCGGACACTACGCTGACAGACACAGCAAGCCTTCTTGCCACAGCTCGCATTGATGTGCCATCCTGGATGAGCTGCACTACCTGAGCCACTTGTGTGGGTTGTAGACTCCGTCTCATGCTACACTAGAGTGAAAGCACCACCAGCATTCAAAAGTGACCAAAACATTAGCCAGAAAGCATAGGAACTGAGAAGTGGTCTGTGGTCACCACCTGCAGAACCACTCCTTTATTGGGGGTGTCTTGCTAATTGCCTATAATTTCCACCTGTTGTCTATCCCATTTGCACAACAGCATGTGAAATTGATTGTCACCCAGTGTTGCTTCCTAAGTGGACAGTTTGATTTCACAGAAGTGTGATTGACTTGGAGTTACATTGTGTTGTTTAAGTGTTCCCTTTATTTTTTTTTGAGCAGTGTATATATACATATATGTGTGTGTGTGTACACACAATTTGTGTTTGAATGTAAGCATGTTTTTGTATGGAGTATGCGTGTTAGTGTTGGTGTTTGAATGCAGGTGTGCATTTGTGTGTAGTGTACACTTCCACACACACTGACAAACATGCAAATATACAGACACACATATGTACACACACACACATATATATTTTGTGACAAAATGTTGGGGATGGTGGTCAGGGGTGTATATCTGGCACCCAGACTTTTGCACAGCCACTATCCTGACATGGTTAAGCACATGCACATGCAGCCCCAGGGAAAGTTAAGTTTAAATGTAGGTTTTTTTCTTTGTTGTTATTTGGGTCCCTGGGGTGGGGGGGACAAGCAGGGTGGACCGATTCTCCACCCACTGTCAGAGTGGCTGTGCATGAGTCCAGCCCAGGTTTTCTAAGGAGTTCTGGCTCACTGCCTAACGAGGTCATATGCCTCACCTGTAGGGGCTGTGGGCAGCTTTATAACTGCAGTTAAAGCAGGGTGGAGTGAAGTGTTTTTAGGAGAAAGAAGGTTTGCTGCTTGTTGTATCCTGTTGTATCCTACTACTTCTTAACAACAGAAAATAAACAGGCCAGAAGCCTTTGAAACTGTACTCTGTCTTGGCCTGGCTTCCTTACCCTAGAGGGCTGTGCAGTTGCCAAAAGATCCTGGACAAACACACACAGGGAAGTAAGTTTGTCACAATATTGTGTGTATATATATATATATATATATATATATATATATATATATATATATATATACATTGCATCTACTATACATGCACTAACACACTGAATTCACAAAACATACACTTTGTATCCACTCTACATAAACTGCTTCCTTGTGTGCGGATTTGAAGGCGGGATTTGGGGGTAGAGCCCCCTGGGGGCCCAGATCTTGAGTTGTGTTAGGGGCCCCAACATTTTTGATGCCTGACCTGAAAGGACCAAACTATTTTGAGATGTGGCATATTAACAACAAGGCCTTTTTGGTACTTTTGCAATGTGTTAATTCTACCATTTAATCAACCCAAACCGTTAGAGTTCTAATGTCTATATATAGAAGGATATATCCAAGTAATAAGGGAATAATAATTGTTGCACGATAGTCTGTATGTTCTGAAGTTGGAGCAAATCTCGCCTGGTGCAACTTTGTATCTAACCTTAAATTGAAAAAGATACTGACATAGTGTAATTCAGTAATACTATTTTATTCCCTATACAAAGAACCCCCCTAAGTAGCACTATTACAGAATATGGTGGTGGAACTTATCTCTAAGTACCATTATATAAACATTGGTGCAATACAGTGCATTAGTCAGGATGTATATGGTTACCGCTCCGTTGATGGGCTCCTGCAGTCATGTGCACTGGAACCAATGCCCTTGGAGGAATGTCGACTTACAAGTGCCACTGTGATCGCTTCTAAAATTCAAAATAGGAATTCCCGCCAAACTCAATCTACGCGTTTCGCCCGTTAGATCAGGCTTTCTCAAGATAGTGTGTCTGGGGGATTAGGATTGAATATATATACACCCTCTTAACATGTCTAGGGCGTGAAGCACTTATGTGCTCTAAAATATAAATGTCTATTTTTCTTTGTATTTGCAAAGAACAGTTTACATGCAAGCACTATAATACCTAACAAATTTCTGTTTTTTACACAAAATGACTAAAACATGTATAGCATCTTCACCCATCGTAAGGTTCAATACTGTAATATCATTGATTCTAAAATAGAAATGTAATTCTGTGTAAGTGCCAAAAGCAATATACATTGAAGCAGTATAATACATAACATACAATTCAAATTTTTGCACAAAATAATTCTAACTTGCAACATTCTTACATATAATAAAATTCAATACTATAATATCATTGACAGATATACCTATCATAGAGATTAAAAATTAACATGTATTCATATGTGTGACGGACCCTCCGTCAATCAATGCTCCTAGTGCTCACCAAAGACCATCAGCACCGCACCAGACACCATAAGCACTGCAGACCCCACGAACTGCCGCAGCTTGGTTCGGGTCTTGCTGTCTCCTACCCACCCTGGACCTATGACAAGGCTCCAGTGGGTGAACCTCTCTTCCTTCAGAGACCATATCAGGAACAGCTCTTACAACAGCTACTGATTATCCAAGGGAGTATGATGATCATAGCAATCCCTTGTAGTGATATAGCAGTTCCCTACAACACGAGACAAGGCTGCGAGTTGAGGGTAAGGTCTGAGAGTTTAATGGTACAGGTTGGATTTTTATACAGTTTTTTCAGGCCAGAGGCACACCCAATGGACCTGATGGAGGACAGGGACACAAGGGGCGTAAACCAATGAAAACAGTAATTAACAGTACAACACTCCCACATACAGTAAACAATCCCTCCCCTCGGCCTGTGATATAATTAAGGTAGTTAATGCATTAACTTAATTATCCACAGGCAGAAAAAACACATTTTTATAAAGTCCCATAAGTACCCCCAGGGGCGTACCTAGAGCATTTGGCACCCGGGGCGGATCCTGTGCTTGGCACCCCCCCCCCCCCAAAAAAAAAAACCTGTAAAAATGTTAAAGGTTTTATTTCTTTTATTTTTACAATTTGTAAACTTTGCAAAACCGCTGTCAGCCCCTCCTACAAAACCCTTGTCCTGCCCTGCCCCTCCTACAAAACCTCTGTCCTGCCCCTTCTACAAATCCTGTACTGCCCCATCTACAAAACCCCCGCAACCCCCTTCCACAAATCCCCTGCTTATCCCCCCTTATAAAGACTCCTGTCCCAATACAAAACCCCCACCCCTTCTACAAAATCCCTGCAGCCCCACACACACATTTACAGGCAGACAGTCACACACTCAGTTACAGACACAGTCACACACTCAGTTACAGACAGACAGTCACACACTCAGTTACAGGCAGACAGTCACACACAGTCACAGGCAGACAGTCACACATACACATTTCCTAACTACCATGGGACACTGTGCGGCCACAGCTCACACAGCCCCCTCCAGCCAGGGCCAGTACAAGGATTTTTGCCGCCCTAGGCAAAAGTAAAGTTTTCCGCCCCCCATGTGACATCACAATGCCCCAGCCATATGATTTGCCATGTTAACTAACGCCAGTGCTGCAGTGCCGCCGTGTTTACATTAAAAGGCCTGCAGGGACAGGCTATAGACACCAGAACCACTACATTAAGCTGAAGTGGTTCTGGGGACTATAGTGTTTCTTTAATGTGAGGTAAATTAGAGCTTAGTGCCACGAATAATATACTAGATTGCCTACTTACAACCAGATGAGGATGATGATGGGCTCTAGCTGCAGTCTGGCTCCACTGGTCTGGTGCAGAACAGGCTCTCTGGAGGCGGTTTGTAACTGTGGTCACAAAAATCAATGTTCTGGGAGAACGGGAAGCAGCTCCATTTTTTGGGGGTCCTTTACACAGCTCAAGGTCTGGGTCCCAGGGTCCACCTTCATGTTCCACCAATGAGTTTGTTCACAGGGGGTGGAGTGTGTAGGGGATGTCCTGATATGTGTGTAAGGAATGCATTGTGTGAAATTGTGTTTGTATGTGTAAGGACTGCAAGGTGTGTTTCTGTGTATGTATGGGATGCATTGAATGTGTGTAAGGGGTGCATTGAGTGTGTGTAATGAATGCATTGTGTGTTTCTGTGCGTGTAAGGGATGCATTGTGTGTAACGGTTGCATTGCTTGTGTATGTGTGTTTGTGTGTTTTTCTGTGTGCAAGGGGTGCATTGTGTGTATGTGATGAATGTCAATCTCTCCTCCTGCTCCAATTTCCTTCTCCTCCTCCCAATTTCTTTCTCACCCCCCCTCCTTTCTCTCTCACCCACCCCCCCTTTTCTCTCTCTCACCCCCCCTTATTTCTCTCTCTTTCTCACCCCCCCTTATCTCTCTTTCTCACCCCTCCCCGCCCCCCCTTAGTACGCCACTGAGTACCCCCAAACAATAGTTCCAGGGCATTTGTGGCTAAGTCCCCCTAAAGTCTACTCGCGGTTTTAGCCATTGTGAACAAGATGGCAGCCACCCAGTGTTCAAATGGCGGCCACTTCGAATGATCGGGAGTTAGAAGAACCAATGTTTAAAGTCCCAAATGGCACAATTAGGGTCTCTCAGCCAAAATAAATTAAAGGGGCCATAGTCACAGGGTAAAAGGCTGGCAAGTAGTCCACTCCAAAGCCCAGTGGCGAAGTGGCTTTTCATCACAATATGTAAAACGATTAGCATGAACAAATAAAAATATCATTTAAACTCATTCATCTGTTTAAAGATAGTCCAAAACGGACTACTAAAAGGGTATATCTGGCTGCTTGTATCCCTAAGTCATGTTTAATTATTGTGTAGAGTGAAGTTACATCACATGTAACCAGCCAAAAATGATCTTCCCATGTGATTCCTTGTATTATCCTTAAAAGGTCACCACTGTCTCTAAGATATGATTCTGTCAGGTTCACAAAAGGTTGGTGTAGCACATGTATATATTGAGAAAGATTAGATGTTAGGGCTAATCTATTCCCAAAATAATAGGTCTCCCAGGAGGCTGTATGACATTCTTATGAATTTTGGGGAGATAATAAAATACCGGTTTGTTGGGGTGTAAACAGTGAATTTTCCTTTTTCAAATAATGTAAACAATAATTTCTTAATTTCCAAAGTAGGGTCTTTACTTAAACGTTTGCATGTATTCTCATCATTCAAGATACTTTTACATTCTATGTTGTACCGTACATACTCGTGTATAAGTCGAGTGCCGTTTTGTGACCAACAATTGTGAAATATACTATGCCTCGTGGATAAGTCGAGGGTAAAACTTGGGGCTATGAAATTCTGTGATTTTTATAATTGTCAGATTTTACCTAGGTAAGATCCTGGAACATAATCCTGTATATAATGTGTGTTTGTATGAGTGTGTGTGTATATAATGCAGAGTGTTTTGGAAAAACCGTCTCCAAAGAATTGGCTGACCGCTCCAACAGGAATTTATAGATGTGGCCATTGCAAGGCTTGTCCCTTTGTTAAAATCTCTAAAATAGTTAAATGTCAGAACACAAAAAAAAATTCAAAATCAACCATTTTATTAACTGTAGCACTACCCGAGTTATCTATGTCATAACATGTACTTGTGGCAAACAATATATCGGAAAGACGTACCAAGAATTTAGAAGACGGATCTTACAGCATATTAATTCTGTCAACAATCCCAATGTTGCAAACCATGTTCGCAACTTTCACGATGGAGACGTTAAACATCTGTCATTCCAAGCTTTGGAAAAAGTTATTCTTAACTCCAGAAAAGGTAATTTTAATTGAATACTGCTACAGAAGGAATCCAGATGGATCTATGAGTTTCAAACTCTAACTCCTAAAGGCCTCAATGAGGAATTTAATTTCATTACTTTTATACATTGAATTCAGTTATCAACATATTAATAAGAATCGAATTATAACAAGATCAGATCAACACCTTTTTACACCTTTAAAATTATTAAATTCATACAAGAATCTGTATAAAGGCCTCTTTAATTTACATTATTTTAATATACACGTTGTAATCGACAAATAAGTATATCAACAATGAAAAGCCCTTTATCAAGATCAAAATACTTGTACTCGATTATTACAAGTTTCATAGTAAGATCGTCTATAAGATACGAATAACTAAACTTCTAATCACCTTAATTTTAGTACTTTACAATTTAAAGGACCACTCTAGGCACCCAGACCACTTCAGCTTAATGAAGTGGTCTGGGTGCCAGGTCCTTCTAGGGTTAACCCATTTTTTCATAATTATAGCAGTTTCAGAGAAACTGCTATAATTATGAATGGGTTAAGCCTTCCCCCTAATCCTCTAGTGGCTGTCTCATTGACAGCTACTAGAGGCGCTTGCGTGCTTCTCACTGTGAAAATCACAGTGAGAGCACGCCAGCGTCCATAGGAAAGCATTGTAAATGCTTTCCTATGAGACCGGCTGAATGCGCGCGCAGCTCTTGCCGCGCGTGCGCATTCAGCCGGCGGGGCGGATCGGAGGCGGAGAGGAGGCAGAGAGCTCTCCGCCCAGCGCTGGAAAAAGGTAAGTTATTACCCCTTTCCCCCTTCCAGAGCCGGGCGGGAGGGGGACCCTGAGGGTGGGGGCACCCTCAGGGCACTATAGTGCCAGGAAAACGAGTATGTTTTCCTGGCACTATAGTGGTCCTTTAAGTTAATTGGTCTGATATATATATATATATATGTGCACTTATTTCCCAATCAGTATACTCGATCACTTGGTATTAATTATATGCTACGTAAAGACTGATACACTATCAAACTCATCCCAAAGATCATCCCAAAGACGGTAATCCATCCATATAAGGTAAACTAAGTGACCATCGTTACTATCAAGATTTCTCTATTACAAATAATATTGTAGTTTTGAATCGATGTAAGTCATCGCACAAAGCATGGATGTACTTCTGACATCCTTCATGAGACGATAATCTTTTCGTAATATTGTAGTTTTGAATCGATAATCTTTTCGTAATATTGTAATTTTGAATCGATTTATGTCATCGCACAAAGCATGGATGTATTTTTTACATCCTTCACGAGACGATAATCTTTTTGATTTAAACTGATTTAATATTAATTTGATCTCAATCAGCAATAGAATTGACTGAAACTTATAGTAACTTTTTATCGATCCCAGTAATTGTTGTTTCATTGATGCTAATAGTATAACTGTGGATTATATAGTTTATAAATGTTTAAAACCGTCTAATGATAACATTTTAAATTTTGCTTTAGCGAATATACTGACATTCATACCAACAAGAGGTTAATTATGCATCTATTAACATCTTTTATTTCTTGTAAACACAAAATATACATGTAATAAGACCTTTACCATGAACAAAATGGGCTGATATTATTGCGGTAACCTTTTTATTCAGTATGAAATTGTCATTTCCAACTGTACAGTCCCTTAAGGGTTAAAACCCATGTATATTTTTAGAATCATGTACTCTATAATGCACAAGTGATCTCTTGAACCCTTGCGAGTTGCCTAACATTCAGTTCACAAAAAACACAATATACTCCTCATTCTGAATCAATAGATATCATAGTTAAAATCAAGTACAAATCTACACATGTAGATTCACATAACAATTTTCAAAGTATTAGCTATTTCAAGAACCCTTGCGTGCTACTTGACATTTAGTTCACAGGTTTTTTCGGGCACGCTTTATGAATATACACTTTGAATTCGGAATCTGTGGACATTGTAGCTATACCCGATCCATTTCGGATCATCTATTCAAGGTCAATGTTTATTTTGTGAGTCCATTTACATACATATATTTACATATATACATTTGTGGTTTGGCTTTTTGTTGTACTAGAGGGTTAAAATCCTGTTTCATCTTAGGAATCAAGGTTGACTACATATTTACTTACGTCATAATCCACAATGCCCTTCATTGTCCCTCTGGGCGATGACGTTTTTTGAACCCACCAATCAGATTTGCTGTCTTCACCCTTTTTATTTCTGTCTTTTTCCCACACATCGGTTCCCCTCTGATGAGTTGTGGGCGAAACGCGCGTCAGGGGCACTTAGGGACCCAGAGAAATCACGACTCTTATAATATTACTATCGTTAGATATTTAGAAACGATAACTTGAATTTTGGTCCCTGAGATTATTTGCCGTTCATGCACTGTATAGCAACTTTGGACTCTATAATGCACAAGTGATCTCTTGAACCCTTGCGAGTTGCCTAACATTCAGTTCACAAAAAACACAATATACTCATTCTGAATCAATAGATATCAGAGTCCCTAAAGGGTTAAAATCTAGTACATTATGGGCTATGTAAATACCGGGAGTATTTTTCTCCCTATCTATGTTTAATATATGAGACTTATAGTTCCTTTATTTCTCCCACTACTATTTCGGCTAATTCTTTCTCCACAGAGGCAGTCAAATTGAGCTTCCCTTATACTAACATTCTATAATTGACTATTTCAGTCCCAGTATCTGGTTTAGATACACTACTTTACATACTTTACTTCTAATACCTATGAGGCAAGCTTATATTCACTTGTACTGTTAGTTGTTAATATATTGTTACATTAGTTCATACCTAAGAGTTTCCTTTTGTACATTATTTTCTTTGTAACATTTTTCACAGCGACAGTAATTCTCTATTCTCTGTGGATTGCAAAACTAGCTTTTGCAAATTTATTTTGGGATTGAATTTCTGAAAACTTTAGAACAGAACCTCCCAATTATACTATGTAATATTTTTAGATTATTTAATTAACTATTTATTTTCCTTAGGGCTTTAGAGTCATTATATTTGGTTTGTTGCATACATCTTTTTTCTGGATTTTTGCCAACATATTCTTTTTGGGGTAGTTCCCATAAGAAAGAAATATTGCATATCATACTATAGGACCATCTAGTATTATTTCCTAATATATTGACTCTAACCATATTGAATTCACCTTATTGGATAATTATCCTTAAAATTCACTATTTTAACATTTTTCATTAAAAGTTATATCTTAGTAGCTAGGTCACTCTTTTCTCTTTCTTTTTCCAATTACCGCTTAGGCGTATGAGTTAACCCCTTCACGAGTGTTCCTAAAGCTTCCCTTTGTTCAGCTGTTTTTTTATATACACACACACACTCATACAAACACACTCTGCATTATATACACACACTCATACAAACACACACTTGGTGTGTATATAATGCAGAGAGCGTGTGTGTGTGTGTGTAGTGTGTGAACTGGTTGGGGGGAGGGCATTATTTATTTAAAAAATATATATATTTAAACTATGTTTATTTTAATATTATTTTTTATTATTTCATTATTTAATATTTATGTTTGTCCCCCCTCCCTGCTTGTTACCTGGTCAGGGAGGGGGGCTATCTTAATCCCTGGTGGTCCAGTGGCATGGGCTGTGCAGGGGAGGAGCCGGCAGCAAGCTGTTACATACCTTTGTAGCAGCTCCGGTCAGCTCCCTTCACCTCCGTGCAGCTCTCCTGTCAGCTCCCAGTGTAAATCTTGTGGTTTGCGTGCCGCGTTGCCACGGTAACCCGTGGGGCCGCGGTTGTGGTGAGATTTACACTGGGAGCTGCACAGAGGTGAAGGGAGCTGCTACAAAGGTATGTAACAGCTTGCTTCCAGCCCCCAACAATGTAAGTTGCCATAATACAGACCTTGACTCGAGGTATAAGTCAAGTGGGGCTTTTTCAGCACAAAAAATGTGTTGAAAAACGCGACTTATACTCGAGTATATACGGTAATCTGTGGTGTTAATTAAAACTATGCCCCCACCCTTATCTGCGGGTTTTATAGTAACTGTTTTGTTCTCCTGTAGTTCTCGTAGTGCCTTTTTTTCCTGTATAGATAAATTAGATTTACTACCTAATATCTTGTCTGGTATTTTTTTGAAATCTGTCATTACGGTTAGATTAAACACATTAATCGGTGCGCTCATCTGATTATTTGGGCAAAAAGTAGATTTGTTCTTTAATGCCGTATGCAAATCACTAATCGTTGGTCCCAATGTGGTGGGCATAGGATTATTTAGGAAAAAACGCTTTAGTGTAAGTGTCCTCATGAATTTTTGTATATCCCAAAAATTCTGAAATAGGCCAGATTTTATCGTTGGGGCATATTTAAGGCCCCTATTTAAGACCCTAATTTGGTCTTATGCACTGTATTGCACCAATGTTTATATAGTGGCACTTAGAGATACGTTCCACCACCATATTTTGTAAGAGTTCTTCTTAAGGGGGTTCTTTGTAATTATACATCATTACTGAATTACACTGTCAGTATCTCAGAACATACAGACTATCGTGCAACAATTATTATTCCCTTATTACTTGGATATATCCTTCTATATACAGACATTAGAACTCTAACGCTTTGGGTTAATTAAATATTGTTGGTTCCCCCCCACCCCCACCCCCTTATTTTTGTTGGCATGGTCAAATCTACTGATTATATTATTTATATTAACATGTGTTTTATTTTCATGGGGAATATCACAGACCCCGTGTAAAAAAACTCCACGGCTAAACATAATCGTTCAGCAGGAGTGATTTAAAGGGTTATGTGCAGTAGAGATTGACTGATATTGCTCTTTCATGGACAATACCGATTATCTGTGGCCCTTCAGGCTGATAACTTGTACCACTAATCTGTAAATTTACAGTTTTACAAAATAAACAGTTTATATATGTATGGTATGATTGTGTGGCTAATCCTTTATGTGGACTACAATCATTTTAAAAAGATAATGATATAATTATTACATTATTGACTTATTTTTTTTTTTATATCCCTCTCCCTGCTTTTTTCCTGTGACCAGGGAGGAGGACATTATACTATCTTGTGGTCCAGTGGCTTTGTGGAGGCTGTGGGGTTTACAAAAAATTGAGGGTTCCTAGGACCCAGCACAAAGTCTCTTCTCTTTCCGCCAGGTCCTCTCTCCAACTCTCGCAAGCCTGGTGTGATAAGCGGCAGCAACACTTTGATGGCCTGGGGCTCATAAGAGAGGAGCTGAAACCGGCGTGCACTGGGCCTCCGTCCACGTTATCGATATTATAGGCCGATGCTGACACTGCTGAAAATGCTAATTATCGGCCGATAATAGGTAGATCCCTAATGTTGTGCATTCACTTCAAACACTGCACATAGCTTGTCTGTCAATCTGTAGCAGAGAGTTGTGGCACCTTATAGACATTGTGGTCTCTGCCATTACTGGATGTTAAAGCCATGCATTGCATAACAATGTAGACCATGGGTAGGCAACCTTCAGCACTCCAGATTCTGTGGACCACAATACTTTTACAGATATAATGGTGGAGAAGCATCAGGGGAGATGTAGTTCACAACATCCAGAGTGCCAAAAATCGCCTACCCCTGGAATAGACTGTACAGCAGCTCTTAACTACTACTTCATTTTCATGCTTGATGCAAGGTAATTATGAAGGGTAGCACAAGTTATCCACAGAACTGAAAGCATTACTTTAGAAGATAATAATTCTTACAGTAGATAAAGCCATTTTAGTACCAGACATGGGGCTCACTCATATCACACGCAATAGAGTATATTTAGACCAACAGTAACTTTAATACATTTACAGAAGTATACCTCTGCGTTGCTATTACTCATAAAAAACATTTGCTATCACACAGTTTATGCAATGCCAGACAATACGTGAAAAAAAACTAAAAATATAATTTAATTTGAGTAGTAATACATTTTTAAATGATGAAAAGTAATTGGATAAAGCCAGAAAAGGTAGACTAAGAACAGGGGGGTGACCCCTAGTAGAAATAGACAATAAGCTTGAGAATAGTGTACCTAAAGAAGAGAGGATTAGGAGGGAGCAACGTGTGCTTGTGCTACATGATAGCCAAAAAATGTATGAGTATCTGAGGCACAGGTAAAAAAGACCAAAGGTCAAAAAACAAACAACAATTTATTGTATACTAAATAGTATCATAAAAATAATAAATCATGAGGTCTTTTTTATTCTATTCTCACTATTCTCAAGCTTATTGTGCATTTTTAAATGCATTTGGTTCCTCAAAAAGTAAATACATAAAGGGATATTACCCTGCAAACATTTTCTATTCAAACTAATGGTTACAACATGGTCTAAGGTTATTGAGTTATTGTTTATTTTATACAAAACAAAAGAGAGCACTTTTACACTTTTCGGATGGCAAGAAAGTATTAGTATTTAGTTGTTTTTTTAAACATATAATTTGTTTAATGTTATGAAACAGTTACTCTTCATATTGCAAAAAAAGTGAAAAATTCAATGTAGACACTTCAAATGTACATACTTACTTACATACTCAAAATTATTCCCTTACATCAATGTTTTAGCTAGAAAGGTAAAAAAAAAAAAAAACACTGCTCTAAAAATTAATACTTTACAAGCCCCATTTAGCAGCAAAGTTTTTAAGCAGCAATGTCGATGTACTTACTATAAAACAGGGTTGTCAAACTCTATCTTAGAAGTATCCTAAAACTCTTGTAGATATTGACAGTTTTTTTATAATAGTATTTTTATTTTTATAATAGCACTTTAAGCAATATGTCAAGTGTGCATATGGTTTTAAGAAATTAGAATTTGGCACCACTGCTCTAATAATAGTAGTGAGCATACAAAATTGTCATGTCCTTTACAAAAATGAATTTACTATTATCGATTATGTCAATTACATCATGCCAATTATCTGTCTCTCTATATGTATATTATTATTTTTAAATAGGTTAATTAACTGAAGTATTATTATTTCAACATTATGCCAAGATGATATCTTAAAGGAACAGGGACGGGAGTGCTCTGACACCCAGCCAATGAAAGAAACTGTTTGATTACTTACATGGGTGTGGTGCAACTTTGAACATTATTCATGCATTTCTGGCACCATAACCACTACAGCATCAAGTATTGGCTATGGTGATTGGAGAGTCACTTTATTGAAAACAGTTAAACAGTTTACGCATCGGTTTGACACTTTCTCTGTTGGGCACTGTAGTCCTTCCAGTCTGCATTTATACAGTAAAGACAACTTTGGACATATAGAATCACTGTGAGCATCAGCCAACTGCTCTTAGCCAATGAATGATGTCCAAAAGTTGTATGCTAATACAGAAGCAGGAATGCCCATTTTAGCATAGCAAGGCAGACCATGACTGCCTGACAAACAGTTCAAGTGTCAATACATTTTTAAATGGTTTGACAGCTTATACAGGGATTTCGCCAGGGGATTCATGGCACTAAAACTACTACTGCACACTTCTAGTGTTATAATATAAAGAGTGATAGAGGATTTTTCTTTCTTCACAGATGACTACTCCGTTTCAAAATTTCAAATGCAAAGACAAAAAGACAGTGTAGTGGTTGTGAATATGACAGAATAAACATATATTAGGATGCCCATGCAACATTACAAAACGTGTGGATTAATATAATTTTTGTTCAAAAAATAAATACTTGACAAGTCTAAGAATATAGAATATTTACGTCAAATATATGAGTGAACATTTTCTTTGCTCAAATTATTCATAAAACATTAACAGCACTGTAGTATTGGCATTCTAATTTGTACACAAGATACAACAAGATTAAACATTAAACAAAAACACAAAATTAACTTAATTCTTCCACATATTCACATTTACAAGATAACATGAAAGCCATTGTTTGTTGCTTTCTTTGTGGCAAATACATTCTGCAAAATTAGAATTCTTGAGGGAAAAAAAATTCTACCATCAGAAAGTCTTTAAAAAACATCTTTCAAAGCAGAGTCAGACGCTTTAAGTTCAATTCTCACTCCCTTTTCACCTAAAATAAAAACAAAAAAACAAAATACATCTTATTTATAGTAAGGTGAAGTTGAAAAAATAAAAATTTAAATAACGGTCACCCATTGTCATGCACAGTAGGCATGGCTGTCCCAGCATTGCCAGGTTTAACCATAATTCTCTGTTTTGCTGTTTAGCATCCAGGGTTAACCCAAATTGTCTTTTTTTGTTTTGTTGTTAGGGTCTTTGTATGTTCTAGCAAGAAGTTGGGAGTCTTTGATCAAAAGAGAAAGGCTTGTGTAATATAATATAAATAAATAAATAAACCTGATTTCATATGGATTTCACGAATATCCCATGTCCATACATTACTGAGGAATACTTCCCCTGACAAGATTGTGACCGACTTCTTATACAAGGTTTTATTTGGACTTTTTGTTGCTGCATTTATCAGGCATAGACTATTTTGGACTTTATCTTTGGACTCTTGATTATTATTAATTTTTTCAAGCTCTTTTTGGTTTTTTATCTTGTATGTATTTTCTCTTATGTAGTGTCTTGTATACGTGCTTGTATAGTTTATAATCAGGTTTATTTATTTATTTATATTTTATTTCACCTGTGGCGCCACCTCCCCTTTCACCTTTTTTAGTTTTGTCTACTCTATAGGGCCTGTGAGGGAGCCCTATTTTCAGGTGTGCTGCCTTACATTTATCTCTGTAAGATCTAGTATATTAGCGCTGATCCTTTGTACATATTCTTGTGTAATATAATGCTGTAATGGGTAAACCCATGTTGTGTCTGCACCCAAGTTTCTGCCATAAATGTAGGGCCCTAAAAATATATACATGAATATACATGAAGTGAAAACCAAAATGGTGAAGGTGCAGTATAATGCACTAAATAAAGTGCTATAGTAGTGCAGATTCTACAATATATTTACACACTGATAGTGTTAGTCCTCAAACCTTCTGACACGCGGCTAGCACTTGCGGTCCTCAGGTAGCTAAACACTTCCGGGAGTAGGAGATTTGCATGTCACGTACTGACGTGCTTCCTCAGATCACGTCTTGGGTTTGCTGTCCATCTGAATTTGTATCCACCTCCATGGGCGTGATAGTTTAAAAATACATACTGATTGGTCCTGGTTAAAACTTGTCCTTATGTAAATAAGATAAAAGGCATATCACCTAAATGTCTCTTTATCAAAATCATATGTAAATCATTTAAAAATAAACCATTAGTGTCCAACATATCAGTTAGTCCAAATATCAAATAAAGCATATACACAAGAAAGGGGGGCATATTGTCTAAATATTCCCTTGTGAATACAATAAAATACATACATATATATATATATATATGTATATATATATATATATATATATATGAAGTAGTAATGGACAGTGTAAATTGCACAAAAATAAAATATAAAATGATCAAATAGTAAAAAATGATCAAATAGCCTAGAAATACTTCTACTAAATGGGAAGGAAACGGGAACACATTAGTATCTTGTAACCACACATTTATATATCTATTGAAAAAAGGTAAAGTAATGGTGATTGTCACGGCAAGGGTGTATAATTTATTATTACACTATGGGATATTGTCCTTTAATGTAATTTGTGTAGTAAATGGCAGAGATGGTATTGTCGAGGTCAACAGGGGTTACATCTTTTGAAGCTGGGACCCCCACAGAGGTCAGATGACAGAAGGAGTAGTATAAATGGCATAGCAATGTGAAAAGGATTTTACCATATGGATGTGAAGTAATCAAGGCTCTGCAAGGTTCTACACTTGGAAAAAGTCTGAATGTCTCTTCATCCATTTGGCATGCACCTTGTAAGTGATAGTTCAATCCTTTAATAAGGTAATGGTATTAGTTTCATGAAGACCCTTGTGTTCCAGTATTATATCCAAGGGAAACATTAATACTTACCAACAGCTTAATAATTAAGCCTCGTTTTATTATATTTGGAATGGGACAAGCCCAATCTTTTAATTAAGCCTAAACATGAGTTGCACAACTTAAAACGTGTGGCAGGAATTGTGATGTCCGTCCTATTGGATCATGGGTAGGACGTGCAACATGACTATGGAATGGGAAAACAATAACAAATTTGTAGATGCAATTATTATTTCTGTGGCAGGTACATAAAATAAGATAGAGCCAAATGTTTCCATTTGGATTGACAGTGATCTGGAACAAAGGAGGTGGTCAGTTATTATTTCTGTAGGTACGCCTTAACTCCACTCCTGGGCAAGACTTGATAATCCACAAGGTATATATCCAATGATTGGGAGTGGTGTACTTGCTTGGGGCCAAATATTTAATTTTGAGTGAGTCACCATCATCTTTCCTTGCCAGAGACCCCCTGGGCAGAAGTTGTACTTTGAAAACCTAAGTGAGTAATTAGGACTTCTGTATTTTATCCTTTTTGTTTTTATCTGTTGTTGGTGTAAATAATTTGTTTAACATATATTTTTATAAGCACTGTGACTATTTTTGCTCATAATAAACATTCATTTATTAAGTTATCCCTTTGTCTGGTTAAGAATCACGTTACCTGAAGAGACTAATTAGTATTTTTGCAATTCCTTAAATATTGTGCTAAGTAATATTTGGTGGATTTTTTACTATTGTTTTGCCTGGGGGACCAAGGCACCCCATTTATAAATTGTTTTGTTGGTGGCAGTATTAAAATAGTAATAGTTATTGTGACAAAGTGCCCTTCGCCACTTGGTCCTGGAGAGGCCTACTTGCCAGCCTCCTCCCCTGTGACTATGACTCTTTCATCTATCTGGCTTTAAAGCCCCTAGTCTACCTTCAGACAGACTATTTATGTGGGCTGCTTTATTTATCCTATGTTTTAGTCACCCTGTACCCATTATAGGTGCAGGGTGTGTGTAATGTAATTGTTTATAGTGTGTGTGTGTACTGTGAAATGTATTGCCTTCTCTCCTGTACTGCTGAGGTTTGCTACCAACTAGGTGGGTTTGGCTATGGAGCTGGTCTAGTGCCCTCTGTTGGTAGCAACAGCAATATGCACTACCTGAATTGCAAGACTGGTTCATTTGCATATTCGGGTAGATTTGCATATTGCTAATTCTGCAGGCAGGTGAGATATTTACTGTTAAATATTGTCTCCCCCCACCCCTTTAAAATGTGCCATTGTGTTGTGATAAGTCACTGTGTGTTTCTTGATATGGTTTGACTGTTTGTGATTTTATTGAGGTTTCACAACAATGTTATTGTGGTGACTGTATTGGCTGGTCCCAAGGGAATAAAGGTTTTGACAGTTCTTCTTGATCCCTCTAAACGTAGCCTTGTCTCGTTATTGGAGGGAGCTGTTATAATCACACTGGGGATTGCTATGCTCTGCATGCTCCCCTGAGCTTGAGTCACTTAGCTCTTTTAAGAGCTTGTTCCTGACACGCTCTCCTTGGAGGAGGGGTCTTCATCACACAGTCCTGGATGCTGGAGGTTCGTACAGGGTGGAAGGAAGAGTTCTTTCCCACACAGTCCTGGAGGACAGAAGCTGATCCAGGGTGGAAGGAAGACGGCGAGACTCCAGTCAAGATACGGCGGTTGCGGAGTCTGCGGTGGTTGTGGTGTCTGCTGCAGCGCTTGGAGTCCTCAGGAAGCGCTAGGAGCATCCGTCAACGGAGGGTACTCAGTCGGAGTACAAGGAGCTCCGTTACATTGGTGGCAGCGGTGGGATGGCGTCCTAGTGTGAGGAGAAGCAGCTCGGAGACACTGGTATCGTATGAGAGGTTATTGAGGGCAACGCTAGCCACTGTGCAGCGTCCCTAACTACAGCAGCATGGAGCAGGGATGGATAGAGCCCTGCGAAGAGCACCTCAACAGGATACGTCGCTACGAGGACGACGCTTACATTGAGGAGGTAAAGAGGCGGTTGGTCTGCTATGGCCCAGACCTTTCGAACGAGGTGGTCCACCAAGTAATGCGCCAGTTGAGTGCTGAGAACAGTGCGGCAATGGCCTTTGAGCGACAACTGTGGAGGTTGAGGATATGGACACCTAGTCTCCAGCGGCAGTGCAAGTTACAGGGAGCCGAAGGTGTCGTCCTTCCTCCCCAGCGGCAGTGCAAGTTACAGGGAGCCGAAGGTGTCGTCCTAACTCCCCAGCGGCAGTGCGAATTCCAGGGGGCCGAAGGTGTCGTCCTTCCCCCCAGCGGCAGTGTGTCCTACAGGGAGCAGAGACAGTTGGTCTCTCTCCCCAGCGGCAGTGCGAGTTACAGGGAGCCGAAGGTGTCGTCCTTCCTCCCCAGCGGCAGTGCAAGTTACAGGGAGCCGAAGGTGTCGTCCTTCCTCCCCAGCAGCAGTGTGTCCTACAGGGAGCAGAGACAGTTGGTCTCTCTCTCCAGCAGCAGGACAACGTTATGGGAGTGGAGACAGGCGGTCTCCCTCTCCAGCGGCAGCCTGTGTTTCAGGGAGAGGAGCACAGCACCCTATCTCCCCAGCGGCAGCTTATCCTACCAAGGGCAGACACCAATCTCCCAGATGACGCAGAGGGGACCGTGGTCTCTGTGCCCGACCTACAGGGATGCTGGACAGCCTGTCCAGATCCCCAACTACCCTCACAGGGACAACAGGAGGAGGGGGTAAGTACGAATTCCCCTCCCCAGCTAACTCCTAACTTGGCCCCAGGGTTAACAGGGGAGATGTTAACCCCCACTGACCCCCACGTTCCCCTGGCTACTGAGCCGGACTATGTCCCAAGCCCCCCAGCGGAAGAGCTGGCAGCTGGGCAGAGTGCAGTCGGCCTCTGCCCTCCCTTTGTCCCTTGTCCAGAGCCTGATGTCCTGCAGGCTATACCAGCAGAAGAGCTGGCATCAGGGCAGACCGCCCTGGCCTCTGCCCTACCGATCCCCTTGTCACAGGACTGGCCTGCACCCCCCTCCTCCCAGCAGAAGCGCTGGCATCAGGGCAGAGCGCCGCTGGCCTCTGCCCCTCAAGTCCCCACAGCGTGTTGCCCCATCACCCCAGAGGAATACCCAGGTGCAGTCACTGTTTGCTATGGGTGGGCTACTCTAATAACTGTTTGTTGTGGGTGGGCTACTCTGGCACTTGCTTATGGTCGGTGGGTGACTCGACTAACTTAGGCACTGACCGACAGAAAGTCAGGTGCCTGGTTAGTCTTCCCCCCGAAGGGGAGATATGTGACGAAGTGCCCTTCGCCACTTGGTCCTGGAGAGGCCTACTTGCCAGCCTCCTCCCCTGTGACTATGACTCTTTCATCTATCTGGCTTTAAAGCCCCTAGTCTACCTTCAGACAGACTATTTATGTGGGCTGCTTTATTTATCCTATGTTTTAGTCACCCTGTACCCATGATAGGTGCAGGGTGTGTGTAATGTCTCCAGCGGCAGTGCAAGTTACAGGGAGCCGAAGGTGTCGTCCTTCCTCCCCAGCGGCAGTGCAAGTTACAGGGAGCCGAAGGTGTCGTCCTAACTCCCCAGCGGCAGTGCGAATTCCAGGGGGCCGAAGGTGTCGTGCTTCCCCCCCAGCGGCAGTGTGTCCTACAGGGAGCAGAGACAGTTGGTCTCTCTCCCCAGCAGCAGTGCAAGTTACAGGGAGCCGAAGGTGTCGTCCTTCCTCCCCAGCTGCAGTGCAAGTTACAGGGAGCCGAAGGTGTCGTCCTTCCTCCCCAGCAGCAGTGTGTCCTACAGGGAGCAGAGACAGTTGGTCTCTCTCTCCAGCAGCAGGACAACGTTATGGGAGTGGAGACAGGCGGTCTCCCTCTCCAGCGGCAGCCTGTGTTTCAGGGAGAGGAGCACAGCACCCTATCTCCCCAGCGGCAGCTTATCCTACCAAGGGCAGACACCAATCTCCCAGATGACGCAGAGGGGACCGTGGTCTCTGTGCCCGACCTACAGGGATGCTGGACAGCCTGTCCAGATCCCCAACTTATAGTGTGTGTGTGTACTGTGAAATGTATTGCCTTCTCTCCTGTACTGCTGAGGTTTGCTACCAACTATGTGGGTTTGGCTATGGAGCTGGTCTAGTGCCCTCTGTTGGTAGCAACAGCAATATGCACTACCTGAATTGCAAGACTGGTTCATTTGCATATTCGGCTAGATTTGCATATTGCTAATTCTGCAGGCAGGTGAGATATTTACTGTTAAATATTGTCTCCCCCCACCCTTTTAAAATTGTGTTGTGATAAGTCACTGTGTGTTTCTTGATATGGTTTGACTGTTTGTGATTTTATTGAGGTTTCACAACAATGTTATTGTGGTGACTGTATTGGCTGGTCCCAAGGGAATAAAGGTTTTGACAGTTCTTCTTGATCCCTCTAAACATAGCCTTGTCTCG